GAATGGAGTTTGTTCTCTGTTTGCAAACCCCACTCCCTTCTAGCACTGAAGACGTGACCTAGCCGGGGAACGAAACGTTTGCAAGAAAACAGCCAAGCTCGGAGAACTCCAGGGACTCCACAGGTCAACCCAGAGCTTCACATATTCTCTTCTGTTGGAAAATACATTTTTTGGGTGAAGAAAGTAAATTTCCAGAGGCTTCAGATGAATGGGAGCGCCTTAATTGAAAATTGAAACATAAAGAATGTGCAGCACCCTTGGAGTTGGTGTGAGCTACCAAGGCACCTGTCTTGAAGGAGGATGCGTTCTTCCTGGCGTTTGGCACCTTGAACTGATCTGTTTCTTCTTCTCAGTAAGGCTACTGATTTTCTTGTAGACAGTAGACAAACAGAGGGGCAGAAAGTCACTTGAGATCTATTGCTTACTTATGAATGCCTGCATCATCATATGAATATGTCTGCATGCATCCTTTTCCCTTCCCCTTTCCTGAAATGTATAAATATCAGAGCATCTCTTTCGTCTGCAGGGGTGTCTCCCACTAACCTTTGCTGGGGTCCCCCTCCAGTACGTGCTGCCTAATAAACACTGCAGTGAAGCCTTGATTATTCTGCACTTGTGTGTCCTGCGTTTTGATTCCACAGCAGTAGCTGTGTGTGCACACAGCACCATCATCTAAATTCACTCTCTGGAGGACGGCAAATAACATCGTGTGTGTGATGTCAAATGCCACTGCCATCAGGCATCATTTGTGTGATGAAGATGTCACTGGATTCGTGGCATCATATGGGTGTTTTCCAGGTTTGCACAATGCATTGAACCATAATCGAAGCACAGAGACTGGGGTTGCACAACAGGCCAAGCCCCCCACCCCTAAAACCCTAACAAGAAATAAACATTAACAAATCTGGCATTTTGTGCAAATGCATCAATTAAGGCCTTCTTTGCATTGCCTTGTTAAGCATGCTGTGTGAATGCTGCACGGTTTTGGATCATGGCTGATTAAACCATGGCTCAGTTAATCAATGATTAAGTGTGGTTTGCAAATGTAGCATTGGGTGGGGCATTTATTTCTTTTATCATGCAACAAGATTATAGTTTATCCTGAGACCTTGTGCTAAGGCTGACCGGAAATCTGTATTTAAACAGGCTACATTTTACAAGAAAAATTAATTCCTATATTCACAATATCTTGGCTTTTCTTTCACCTTTTTCCCCAGGTTAATAATACAAAAACTTCCGCCATCTCCAGGAATGAATCCATGAATGAAATAAACCAAGAAATTCAACCTTCAAACTTAGTGGCCACAGATGCTCAGAGACAAAAACAGAAATGTTCCTAAAGTGCCTGTTAGACTCCTTTGATGTGCTTTGATGTGTTTTCACTGCTAGAGCATAGCATATTACATAAATGCAACAACAGTGTGGCATTCACCCAAGCTTAGGGGTGGGATGTGGTCTGAACACTGCCGCAGTGTGGCACCCCACGCGATGCCCCTCTCTTGTGACGATGAGGCTGTCATGAGCCCACACTCTTCTAACGTCCTGGCTTATTCTCTTTGTAAGGTGGGAGTCCCGTCCTTGCAGCTCGGATCTGGCCACCCCAACAGCAGACGAGAGAGGAGGGACTGGCGCAGGCTTCCTTCATTACAGGATGCTGTCTAAGGCACAAACTCCAAGTATGTCATCCACACAAATGCAATTCTAGCATGTGAACGTCCAAGTTGCCTTTCAGCACAGGGACCTTGTTCACCTAAGAGCCTACGCCCAGCTTAGCATTAACCATGTTTAGAAAGCACTGACTCAGCAAACGCATGTAAGGTTCATTCCGCAAAGGACATTTGGGCATCGTTCATCATCTCTGTGTGGTATTCCAGAAACCCACATGCTGGTCCATGATGGTGCAGTCAGAACTGGAGCCATCGTATGCACAGAGGTGGAAGTATTAGCCTTTTCTTCCAACACACGTGGCAAATCCCCTGCACACCCCGAGGGCTAATTTTGCAGATGTTCCTGTCTCCTATATACTGTAGTTTTCCAGGAGGCTAATGGCTCCTTAAGCATAAGGTAATCATTATTCCATTAAAGCCACGTTTACAGACGGTGGGCAAGGAACTAGGTTTGGATGATCGGATAATCCAAACTTCAGTATGGCTTAACTGCCTCACGCAAACAGTTGCCATCTGGCACATTAATTTCATAGCTGTTTTTTAACCTATGTTGAGTCAAGGCAGGAGAGGAAAGAGGAATTTGAAGAAGGAGGAAGTAAGCAAAAATGATGAATCTCTACATTTATTTTTACCCAAAATGCACTTGTACTGGTACTTACTCTTGAGGCTACTGCTTTACAGTATTCACTACAGAACATGTCCCTGCTTTAGATTCATTTGCATGTTTCACAGTAAATTCATCCAACATTTCAAACTTGTCTAGGAAGCTCTTACTGAAGCTTAAAATGCTCTCCCATTTTTACTATGAAAACACTGGTGTTATTTTTTCATGCGTCTATGCGTGTATGTGTGTGTGTGTGTAACAAATGTTTAAATATATTTAAATAATCTGAAGAATAAAAAATTTTAAGAATAGATTTTATTCTTGGTTCCACCTTGTGCTTAGAAAGTAGACTGGAGTAATATTGCATTTCCTTCAAAAATAATTTGTGAACGCAACTTGCATTAGGAAATAAACATTCTCACTCCACAGGAATAAAGAGAACACCTGTATTGGGGGATCTGATAGGCAACTATAAACACGAGTATTGTGCAGTACCGTGTAGTAAATATTTCACATGCTGCTACAATTTTTTAAAGAATCATGGAGCTCATTTCCAAACAAGGTAAAAGTAATTTGTTCCCCAAAGAAATGTATGCTCTGCAATAGGATTTCAAACAAAATGATGCTAGATTTTTATTTGCCTTTAAACTGTGCAGACACTATCACAGAGTGGATAAAATACACATTTGGTTTGCAGTCATTTCAGTGAACTGTGAACCAATTCCTGAAATTTTAAGTCCACGTATCTGCCAGGTTGGTAAATATATTCACTGCATTTGCGTGTTTCTTTAGATATGATATACTATGTGAGAGTCTTTTTGTGCCTGCGAGAGTCAGCCTGGAAAACACGTCCAGGCGTTTTGACAAATGCGCTTGCTGATGGGCTGGAATGAAAAAAGGGAGAAATAAAATCCTCTTCCTTGTGTTTTACAGAAAAGACTCTGCCATGTTACAAATCCTGCCAATAAAGGTGTCTCTTACACATAAATAACCACATGTAGCTATACATTCAAACATTTCAGAATACATGCATGTTTAGCTCTTGTCTTGTACTCATAGACTTTGCTTGGCACATCACCCTTCTGCTCCCTCTTGCTAGCTGTGTTTGTTGCATGAAGACACACACAGAGCATGAAATACTCCATCAGGGAGCCCACATATCACCGGTAGAGGGCAGGTCTTGGGATGTGCAAAATACTCCTTAAATGTGAACAAGCAAGCAATAGGGCTGACATGCTTCAAAAATGATTCAAACCTTCTGCAAGCATGAAAGTAGCTTGGTGCAGGGCTGCAATGGTTGGGAAATATTCTTCTAATATACACGGGGGAATCACGAATACAAGATGAAGAAAACTGCACAGTGAAGTGTTTATACTAGAGATTTGCAAACGCCCCTAATTCATCATTACATCCTCAAATACTTCTATGAATACTGTTTTCTAGTTAGAGACTCATCCTCATGGGTAGTTACAGATACCTGAGATACAGTTGGGGCATATTTAGCTGAAACGTGTTGTTTGATGGAATCAGCAATAGATTGTATCTAATGAAAGAAGTGACTTGTGATGCCACAGGTCTTAAAGGTATACGTTTGCCCAGGTATCTACTCATAGATAATGCTCATAGAAGTGACCCAAATCTTGGACATATATGATGTGTAATAACCCCTTCACCAAAAGCCAGCATGGAAGGAAATCTACCATTACAGGATCTTTAAATATATATCATGTAAGAGTGATCAAGGAAAAGGATTGGAATATGGAGCTTCCTCTTTGCTTACAGGCTGATTTACAGTCGATTGAAACACTGAGGGGAAAGGAGAAGATTCTAGCAAAGCTGAGAGCATTTTATCTACAACCTCTAACAGTTAACTCATTGCAGAAGGACGTCCACAGATAAAAGAATCTCCTCTTTTCCCCCAGACATAGCACCTATTGTCTGAAACACTGAGTTCAAGTCCTATTCCCAGTGTCATCACTGGAAACACAACAGTTCTTCCCAGTGAATGGGCTGGGAAAACACTTCTCTCTCTAGCCATAGTTCATATGAGTAATAGAAATCTTCAGGAAGTTCTAGCTGCTGTCCTAACACGCTCTGAAGGCAGTTGTCTACTGGAGAAAATTCAGAATCCTGTGGCTTATCATACCTCCGGCTATTGAAGGCTTCGATATGGGCTCGTAAACTGCATTCTTCCGCTTGGAAGTCCCAGGGTCGAGCATCAATATCTACGTGCCAGAAACACACAGAGAAAGTAAGGCAGTTTTTCTTGGACTATAGAATGGCCAGTGGGCCTGGAACGCTGGCTCTCTCAGTGCTGTCACATGAGTTGAAGGACAGCAGATTGGCCAACAAGTACCTTCTCATTATTACTAGAGAAGATCTAAAGTATATGCTCTGCATGCCAAATGTCTCAGCTGAATTTCCCTTGTTTTCACATACAGACTCTCTGCCCCCAATTTCAGACTACTACTGTAAGAGAGACAACACCAGGAAACAGATCAATGTTCTGCCTCCAGCTGCAAATGTTTAAAATGAACAATAAATAAATTGAAACTTTAGTTTTATCTCCATAACTGCAGGTCCTAGACTAATATCTGTGTGAAACTTATTAGACGCACATCATACTGAGGAGATTTATAACCAAAAATACATAAAAACATAGAACTACAAAGTTGGAAGAACCACAAGTCATCTAGTCCAACCCTCTGAAATGGGCAGGAAAACCAATTCAAGCATCCTTGAGAGGTGCCTGTTCAGCCTCTTCTGGAAAACTACAAGATGGAGAACCCACAACCACCATGCGGAAGACTGGGCTGGTGTCCTGTGCAACCACATAGCTAACCATGCAGTTCACAGCTACTACAGGATTGGATGGAAAAGTGACCACAGAACATTAAGTCAAGATCAACCCTTTTAGGGTGCTGGAGGACCTTTGCAACCCTCACCATTGCCATATGCCCAGTCATCATTCATGCGGTGACGCACTTTCTGATAGATGGCAGACATGGTTTTCATGTTGCTCTTCCTCCACTGGCGTCCAAGATACTTGGTCTGGATCTTCAGCAACTTCAGGACATAGAGCTGCATCATAGCTTGCTTCACCTTCAAAGCACGTTTCAGGATGGGAGCAGACTTAAAGACCACAAGCATCTATCAAGATACCAGACAGGAAGAAATGAGATCAAACGTATTTTTTAAAAAACCTTAGAAAATTACCATACAAATATAAGAGCATGCAAATATGGTTATAGCTTTCAAAGAGGGAGAAGAATGCAATACAACGTGTCATCTCTGGTGCACTTATGTCATGGAGAGCTGAAAAAATTTCATCATTTCTCTGATGACATTCAATGACTTGTAAGGTAGATAAAAAATCAATTGTACCAAGTGCTGTTTCCCTAGCTATACTTTCTTTATTCTCTACATCAAATCAACAAACTTATCTTCTACAACATGATTAATTCTGAAATCCAGATTTCCTTGTAGCTTCAAGAATATTTGAAGGCACTCTATAAATGAATAAATATGCATCCCATTTTAGTATTTCCTATTCTGATTGGTATTGGAGTAAAACTGGATATATCAAATCCCGCCTTTAATATTTTTGTATTCTTCCCTTAAAGTTTTAAAGCTCCATTTTTAGTCAAGGCTCAGAAGTGGCTTCAGAGTTTATAATTTCAGTAGAACTAAATCAGTGATTTAACCCCAAACTACTTTGGCTCTCAGAAAAAACAGAATATATTTTAATAAAGATGTAGTATACAGAATGCTCTTCTCCCCCCTCCCCCCCTCTCTCTTTCTCTCTCTCTCTCTCTCT